GCTATATCTCTATCTATCTTGAGGGTTAATAACTTTTGTTCTTTGTAAACTTTCTCTATTTGTTTCTCGGGGTTGTCAAAAAATTTCTTTAAGTCTGCTATTCTAGTCATTCTTGTCTTGACGTCTCTATATTTTGTTTGTACCATTATTTGTAACAATAGTAAATAATTTATTATCTAAATTCTAATCCAAAATAACTTTTTTTAACTTATCCTTAATGGCCTCACCTGTATGTGGATATAGAAGATAATGGCAAGATAAAAGTGCTTCTCTAAATTTAAAATTTGAATCAAGCCAAGTTGCTGTAATTCCAAAATATCCATGTTTACTTTTGGCTGTCCAAAGATCTGTTGTAATATTAACAGTTTGTATAGTATTTTGAATTAATTCTGTTATTTGAGTATGAGTCCAAATATGCACTATGAATAATATTTTTTACAGTTTTGTCACATGGAATAGAATAACCTGGTATGCATTCATATAATAATTTTTTAAATGATAAACATTTTAAAATTGATAGTGGTTGAACGTCACAAATAATAAAAACAACCAAATGATGAGTAATTCTTCTTTGTTTAGAACTATCAATTGGTATAATATTGGTATTTGTAGTTTGGCAAATAGGAATCCGAAGCTATTTGATATAATTAATAAAAAAATATATGAGATAATAGAAAAATATAGCAAACCTACTTTTTTTATTTTGAAAAATATAAAATAATTTAATTAACTTACTTCATTATTTTCATCAAGAAAATTTTTATAATTGTGTTTATAAATTTCATGTTCTTCTAAATGATTTCGTAGATTAGTAGTACTGCTATGTGTAATATATTTATAAGGCTCTTTTGAGTTTGCAATACAGACTTTACATTGAGCAGTTTTATTTTCTTTTTTAAAAAAATGAACAAAACTGCGTAAAGCTATAGTTTTAGTAATACGATGTCTTTTTCTTTTTGGACTGGAAGTATTTACAATAGATAAGCTAGTATCATAAGTTTGTGATGAATCAGATAACTATTCAGATTCAGACATTTTTACATTATGAAATTAATTTTCTCAACATAGTTTATATATAAACTTTTTTAACAAATGACAACAATTATCGAATAAGAATAATAAGAATTTTTTATTTTTTAATCTCTGCCGATAAAAAATAAACCAAAAATTGCAATACAATTAAATTTATATTTTAACAAAAGACTTATTTTAAAAATAAATATTTTATTATCGCTGTTTTCGAAATGGTTGATAATAGCAATATATTCAAAAAATATATTTTTCTTGCGAATACCCAAACTGAGTACCCGATTAGTTTAGAATATTGATCACATTGATCAAATATCGATTTCAGCTATCTTTATTTAATGATAAATTAAGCGAATAATTGTTTAAAATAATAATTACTATTTCGTAGTTGTAAATCGATCAATGTAATCAATGTTCTAAACTAATCAGGTATTCGCAAGAAAAATTTTTTTTGAATATATTGCTATTCTCAACCATTTCGAAAACAGCAATAATTCTTTATTACAAAAAATGTTTTTTAAATACAAAGTTTATTTTATTGGTTTATTATTTATTAATTTTTTTATAGAACTTTTATATATTAATATATGAGTGCTGGCAGAAGAAAACCTGTTATTGTGCTTTAATTATATTTTGTACTAAACATATTCGCTAAGAAATTAAATAAATTTTATCTGGTACAAAATATAATTGAAAGCCTAATATCAGGTTTTCCTTTGATAGCACTCATATATGCTACAAGATACAATTATAAAATAAAGGTTATTCTTATAAAATTAATGATCATTCTATTTTAAAATTAGAACAATAGTATGTACCCAATTTTTTTAATATAAAGTAGAAATAGAAGAATTAAATGATAAAAGGTTACTTTATTTTATCAAAACAATTACCTTTATTTAATATATTATAATACTCTTTCTATTTAAAAATACTTTAACTTTGCCTTTATTTTTTTATAAACTAATTAATAAAAAAAATTTCTATATTTGCGAACATAGATTAGTTAAAATATAGGAATTTACAAATATCTTATTTCATATATAATCTTTATAACAATAGCATACGAATTTTGAAAACATCGTAATTGTTCTTGAATCTAACTGCAAGGAGGAATTAATACAGTAATAACAATAACTATAATAGTAGATTAGTATAGAATAATTTCTAATTGTAGTTATTGTATTTATATAACTGTTCTTATAGGGCAGTTATTATTTGATAATTTCGAATATAAACTTCTCTAATAAGCAATATTTTTTTTGTTCTTAAAAAATATTCTATTTAATTTAATATTTTTGTTTCTTACATAATTAAGTAATTGTTTTATTAAATAACAGCAAAATTAAAATTAAAACAGATACTGATATTAAAATGGATTGGTAGAAAAAAGAAATATATTTATATATTTAAAAATAATTATATTTATATATAAAAAGAAAACTAAAATTCCCAATAAGAAAAATAGATCGGATCAGTACGGATCAGGCCTACCGAATAATTGATTGTGAAGGCAATTAATTGCAATTATTTAAATTCAATTAATTGATTGGTGGCATAGCCACAATTAAACAATTAATTGCAATTTTTGCGATAATAATAAATGATGTACGATTCTCCATATACCGCAGTTTGT